AAAGGCAATATTTTAGCACCTTTATTTTTATACAAAAACTATCTGGGTTTATACATTATGCTTTAAATATTAGACCAAATACAAAAGTGGACTTCAGCTTACAAAAAATCTCAACTGTAAATGTAAAAGAAATGTCAATAAAAGAAAGTAGAAGAATAACTTTATGAGTAACCAAAGAAATGCAAATTATCAACAGGATAATATTTTCACCACACTACATTAAGAGGAAAAAAAGATTAGATATTAGCCAGCTTTGACAAGGGTAGAAGCATAAGGAAACGTGAATCTTCTGCTACTCCTCTTGGGATGTAGGCATTTTGGAGAGCAATCTGGCAATCCCTGGTGAAGTACCTATACATCCTGTGTCCAGCAGTTCTATGTTGGGGCAGATAAGCCTGAAAACCTACTGAAGAGGCATATACAAAGATGTTTGTTGCAGCATTCTATGCAGTAAAAAGAAATTAGAGGCAGCCCGGGTGACCATCACTAAAAGAATGGAGAAGTAATCTGTAATACGTATTATGCATCTCAGTGCCTTATTCAAAACAATATGTAAGATGTGCACTTGGCCAGTGCCAAGGATAGACCTTTTTAAAACACTGGCTCAAAAAGAGAGAAAGAAAGAGGGAAAAAAGGGGGAGGGAAAGAAGGAAACAAAGGGAAAAATGATGAGGAAATTGAAAGAGATCTTAGCATAATACCATGTAGGAAATAAAGGCATACTCAACACAATACAGTCACATTCCTGTATCACAGATTTCACATGCACTTATTGTGTGTGTTCAAGAATATATGAGGAGAAAGAAAGTAAAACAAAACAGAAAGTGGCCTTGCAGTCAGACATTCACGTGCCAAGATCGTCTCTCTGCACCTGAGTCCAACAATGGCAATAAATGAATACTTCCTGAACAGACCCAGCATGCAAAACATTCACTCCATGGACATTCTAAAATTTGTGATCAGAGATGGTGCAAGAAGACAGAACAGAACAAGATGGGGTTACTGAGAAGCAGTGGGTCTCTGAGAAGAACATCCATGACCAGAAAACTGATTTAGATTTATGAACATCAGATCACTTTTCACATCATATTGGATCCTAAATCTCGCATATGTCAGACTCCTCGGAAGACTCTTCTCAGTATGAAATTTGTGGTGGTGGCCTGTACCCTTACATGTTCACCAGCTATCTGTGGTGCTTCATTCACAACCAGCCCCGCACCTCAAAGACATGACCAGTCACAGTCCCAGGGTTAGAAGTCTGCTTTGTTAGCCTCCAACACAAGTGTCACTTTATCTCCCAGGCTGGCATGAGAAAGAGGAGTCACTGAGTATGACAAAGTTTAACTATATGATTGGGATCACTATTCATTAATATTGACTGTGCATAACTACACAAATAATCTTTACTTTGCTCATGAGAAAATCAAGAGTTTTTTTTTTAAATACTCATTGTCACTCCGTGAATGGCAATGTCTCTGTGCGAATCTTTGTTTTAATTAAGTCTCCCTTACATTCTGGTTTTGGCTTTTATAGGGTTGGTTATTTGCACCCTCAGGCAGAAAATTTTAAAAACCAGTGAAGACAGTAAAAGAACACTGTAAAGCTTAATTGCCCCGGAAGTCTTTTGCTGCCATTAGGCATCTTTGTTTCACAAGTGTAGGTTTTACGAAAAATCAAACACAAAAATGCCTCTGGAGTCCGGGTCCTCAGCTGCCGATACAGTGCAAACCCCGAGGGATAGTACAAGTCTTGCACCTTTCTCGTCCACGCTTGCACGGGTGGAAGAGTTTGTCTGACAGCAGAGGTGCGACTCTGACACAGTTTAAGATTGGTGGTATAATGAGAAGACAGTAAGCCAAGGAGAACGTGTGAATTAGAAAAAGAAATTATTTTTCTCTTTTCTCTAGCTGTAAATAACCTCACCACAATGCCTTCCTTCCAAAACTCTAAGCCAAAGCACTAAGGTAAAAGAGTGTGCTAGATAGCTTTTGTTTCGAAGGATGTCATCACCAAAGAATTGAATTTGCTAAAGAAGTTGATTTTCAAACTCTTTCATCCTATGAAAATAACAGTTTGCTGGGCTCTTCCACCTCAGATTGCAATGGTTTACCTTCCTATATCCCCCTGTTGTGATTTAGGGCTTATTTTTGCAAGGGGAACAATATAATACAGTACACATATTTTACAAGATTATTTATAATAGTCACCCAAAGAATGATATACAGAAGAGTGAAGGAAATCTGTCCACACACCAAGACCAAAGAATCTAGCCAAGGGCCTGAATCCCACAGAAATGTCCTGCATGAGTCCAGCTGAAGACCTAGAGCCCATAACAATGCCTCCCACGAATCCAACTGGAGGCCTAGAGCCCATAACAATATTTTATGCAGGCCTGTTTCATGGATCTGCACTGGGAAGGCCCAAAGGTCAGTGGTGGAATCTAGGAAGTCTATGCCACGGCAATGAAGGACATATGTTAGTAGGCTTAGGGAACTATATTGGAGCCAGGAAACAGCACAAAGTAAGAACCAGAGCTCCCCTGAAAATGACCACAGCCATCCTCAGTGACAGTGAGGACCCAAGCTCCTCCGATGGTGAAAACAGCTGAGTTTCCATCAGGAAAGCCAATGTAGCAAGTTCCTCCAGGAGACAGGCAGTGCACCATCTTCCCCTCTGGAGCCAGGCAGCAATGCTCAAAGTGAGGACCGGAGCACCTCCAAAGTGAACCATAGCTATTTTCAGTGCCAGCAAGCTCCTGAGCTCCTCGGAGGATGAAAACAGTCAAGTTCATCAGGAAAGCCAGCATGACAAGTTCCTCCAACAAAACCAACAGCTCCTTACAGCTTCTACCAGCTCCCAACAGCCTTTCTCAGCTCCCAACAGTCTTAATTCTTCTCCAGTTCTGCCTCTTATGCTGCTGGCAACAGTCCTCAGGTGGGCCTCCCACACCTAGCACCATGCTTACTCAGTTCAGCTGGGTGTTATAAGTTGACCACCAGTTGTGAATCCACTACACTCCCTCATCTTATCTACCAGCAAAAGCAAGCAAGACGTCCAGTAGAGAAAGGAGTTATGTGTTTCCTCTCTCCAGGATGAGAAGATATATAGAAAAAGGAAGTAATATAGGGAGAGCTGATAATGTTGCTGAGAAATATTGGGGCTTCAAATGAAGCCAGACAGGGAAGTGACCTTGCTGTCGAGGAAAGAAATAAATATGATAGTTGGTAGCAAAGACAATGTTAAGTAGGAGAGCTTTGGAAAACCAAAAGACACCCTGGGACTCATGACTCAAGTTATAGATGAACATAGCCTGAGTACTTGTTGCAAATATAGAATCTCAGGCTCATGACAAATCCGCTGAATGAGGATATACAGTTTAACAAACCACTGGCTGATGTATATTTACATTTAGTTTGAGAAGCTTTGAACTACATACCTTCCTAATTTTAAGTTCCCAGTAAGTTAATAAATATAAATCAAAACAATGAGGTTTTAAATGTGTGTACTTGGCTATTTAATTCTTTAAACACATCCACATAAAAATTACAATGACTGCACAAATAACCTCATTTGAAGCTAACATCAAAAATCTAAAGTCTCAAATCAAGCTTCTCTGTGAGTACCAGGTCCAAGTCCTCTGAGTCCCAGACAAGACCTAGGATAAAGAGTATAACACGACTGCTTGACAGCTGTTTGGAACTCAGCAAGTCCCCGTGCATTGAACTCATGTCCTAACTCTGAATGTGAAAAACTTTCCTCTGATATGATGACACCGTGCTGTAGCAAGGCCATCTGTATGCCTGCCCCAGAGAGAATTTTTGTGGTGCACCAAGTTATGTTTATGACGAGGCAGAAACACGAGCTTATCCTGATCAGTATCAGAGAAACCCATATGCAGTCTGTGTAAGCAAGAGGAAAATGACCTCCAGGGGCAGTCACTGCAGCAGTACATAAATAAATTGGCAGATGTGTCAACTATGCATATTAGTCCAGGAGTTCAGTTCTTCGGGGACTAAAGTCCAAAGACAAAGACATTTGTGGGTTGCCGGTCAATCTGGAGCATTTCTTCTAATTTTTTTGGATATGTTTTTGACAGGAGCTTAAGGGCAGTTCAATAAATTAAAATGTATTTACATGGCAATGAAGAATTATCTTGACACAGAGAGTTATTTAATTACCAAGGTGCTTTGCGTGCTGCTAAAGTTGAGACTGTGTCAGCCTTTCTGGGACAAATCTTTATTTTCAGGGCCATGTGGCTCAGCCAGGAATGATCCCTTGGGTTGGAGCTTGTCATTTATAGAAGAGGAGTCTCCTCGCTGACCCCCATTTCCATAGACAGCTCTAAACAGATCGGTAATCTCAATGTCAGACATCATGATGAAGTCAGCGCTGCCAAGGCCAAATGTCCCTCTTCAGGGATGTGGCCTCCCTCTCAGAGGAATTGTAAATGAAGTCATACCCCATTTGCAGTCTTCAAAGCATGTCAGGGTTGCTATCCGTCTGAGTGACATTCACAGAGCCGTCTTGAGGCATCACAAGGTAGGTGTGTGTTAAAAGTCTCTGTGCCAGCAGCATCAAAACAAATGGGTAAACAGTAACCTCACATTAACGGGTGCAGGGAGTTTCCCCAAGCTAAACATGTACCGTTCCTGTGGGGAAGGAAGTGCCGCTGAGGTCCAGGCACTAAAGGAGACACGGTAAGAGAAGGCAGACTCTGGAAACTCAGGCTTAAACTCAACGAAAGTGGAGAGTTGTCCATGAGGTTATAATCTGATGGGCTGTGAGTCCTCAGGGAAGTCACTTTGGTTCTCCAGTTTTAATTTTCCTCATTGACATGAGGGTTTAAATGATCAGAAATTTGGTTTATTCTAATGCTAGGATTCTATTTCATTCCATTTCTAAAAATTAAGACTTTTCCTCCCCAGTCCTCCTGAACATTATCCTTACAGGTGACTGTAAGAATTTTACCCACTGAATCTATCCCAAATTCATGCTTCTAGGTCCAGATATCTTGACTCTAGTGGTGGGATCTGACATCAGCCGCTGTCCCAATACTCCATGGCCGGCCTGCCGTGGCTATCTGCACAAGAGGACTCACTCGGGCTTCATGAAGGGTTGGAGGAAGAGGTGGTTTGTGCTGAAGCATGATGGCTGCCTGCACTATTATAAACATAAAAAGGTAACAAGAGAGAAGGTAGGTGCAGGGCTGGTCAGGGAAAGAGCAAGAAACCTTGGGAAGAGTGCTCCCATGACCTAGTCCGTGTCCCAAGCATTGTTTCGAAAAGCACTATGTTGCAGAAGTCTGAAAACAATATTCCCTCCTGTGATTTCTCAGGAAATTTTCCATCTTCAAAACCTCTCAGAATTTGCAATTTATTTTCTCTGCTCCTGCATAAATCAACATTGGCATAACTTTCTATCTCATATTTCCTATTGTTCAGATCCTCTGTGAAAACATTTTTATAAAAGCCTAGAAAACAAGAACCAAAGTAAGTAACCAAAACCCTAGAGAAATCAAGGTGGGCCCTAGATACAGTGCAGCTCCAGGGGACTGGGTATCTGGGTATTGTTCCCCGGTGGCAGGGCGTGGATGTTATCAAGGCTTCTGAGGCGGAATACCAGGCAAGGGGTCTAGAGTAACTTGTTTCATTTTTCTTCATTTTTGACAGCAGTGATTTCTAACTACAGATGAGGGATGGAATCAGCTAGGGAATACTCTCAAAACATGCAGACTCTGTCCCACTCCCAGATGTTTCTAATTCGGCAGTCTGGGATAAGGCCTGGGATTGTGTAGTTGGGAAAAGCTCTTCAGATGATTGCAATGCACACTTTGCATTTTTTCAGCACAAGTGTTTTCTCAGCCCTATACAGCGGGCTAATTGTCCAGTGTGTCAGTTTGTAAATCAGATGGATGTGAGCATGGTAAAAATAGAGATTTCCGAAACTCACAGTAATCTCAATTTCTAATTTTCTTTTGGAAAACTCCCTAGCAACAGTTGGCAGGAGCTGAATAGAGTCCTTTCCGTTAGGGAGCGCATACACGCTCCTCTCTAACAAAAGGACCTGCCTATCACCCAGCTGGCTTCACCTGGCTCACATTTGTGACCTCCTTCTAGTAAAGGTTCAAAGCAGGGGTTTATTTACCTCATTTGTGATAAAATCCTTTTTCTGTCTTTATTTTCCATTGCCCTAATTTCTTAATGTTAAACTACATATATGCATGTGTTCACACACAGACATATATCTACGTGCACAGCCTTGGTTCCTTTCTGGAACAAGTCAATAAAAAAGCGTTTCATTACAAAGCAAATAATGATATTGCATACTGAATTATTATGAAGACTTTTTGTTCCCAGATTATGAATTGCTTATTTACGACACAGACCATGAGATGCACTGCCTTCCAGGGCCGTGTGAGCTACAGAGCTACTCTGAAAAACTTTGTCTCCCTCCAGTGCAAGAAAATAGGATTTTCTCTAATCAGAATAAAAAAAAAATGGTTTGTCCTTGATTTCTGCTTTCTGAGTATTAGAGTGGAACGGACCAGAAGTTTGCAGGTTTGTTGTGTTTCAGACGCAATGGAGTTTCCCCAAGTACATATGCAAATCATCTCCTTCCCCTGTACTTTTCATTGCTCAGGATCTTGAAAATCATGGGTTTTGAAAATCATGCCCATTTTTTAAGCTTTCAAGGTATTTCTGATTTGTACCCTGGGTGAGTAGCATAACAAAGTTTATTCCCATCTCTATGCAGAAGACCAGAACAAAGACAATGTAATTTTGGCAATTGTTCTTTCTTGAGCTCAATATCCTGAGATTGTGTCCTCTCTAGTTTTTGCTAATAATTTTTGTTTTCTTTTGTAAGATGGTGATAATAGTAAATGCCGCAATTTATTTAATACCCTTCTTCAGCAAAATAAATGGGTAAGAAAACTTGAATTTGAGCACTCCTCATTTTAAAATTCTTGGTCCTTGAACTTCAGAATAATTCCTGGAGCCAGATTTTTTAGGCTGGGTCTGCCAGGTGGCAGGCATGAGACCAGTGCTGCTGTTCTTGTTTTGTTTGGCTTGCATGGTGTTTTTATAAAATTTTTAATTAAATGCATTCAGGTGAAATGTGCTGTACAATTTACCATAATCCCCAGTTTTCCTGATTTCCATACGCTCAGCCCAGTCATTTGAGTTACCCACCAGGCCCTGTTGGAATTTAAATTCTGAAGTGAAATTTGTGTGAAAATTAATAACTACAGTGGTATTAGTAGTTGGAGTTAAATTTTTTTTTTAACATTCCTAAGTCTTCTTTGCAAAAGAAATATGGATCTTCTGCTGTGGATGCAGCTAGAAAAAAAAAGGATCAAGAACAACTGAAATTGTGAACATCATAGGTTATAATGTAGGGATGGTAGAATATACAATTACAGCTTATTTTGTTTATAGAGAACAAAAATCAGATTCCTTGCAGTGCTATGGACTCCAGAAAACATTATGTCTGATCTTTGGAATAGATAGCAATGACCAAGAAGAGTTAATGGAGCATAAGAAGAACATAACAGAATAAATTAGCAGAAAATGAACCCAGCCATAGAGTATTCATTCATGCAATAAGTATTTATCGAGTCTTTTTTATAAGCCAAGCATTATGTAAGCACTGGGAGGGCAACAAAACTGATAAGATGCCTGCCCTGTTTGCGCTTATAGTTCCATGGGGGAGACAAATATTAAAAAATAGATTCACAAATAAATATGCAATTGTGATTGGTACTATACGAGAAATTACAGGGATATAGAAAAGAATTGCAGCAGTCTAGGTTCAATTAAGAGACTCGCGTGGTGTTGTAAATATGGAAAGCTTAATGAAAAAGAGTTATTAATGATGGTAAAGCATAACTATGTAAGAATACTGCGTGGAAGAGCAGCATATGCAAGGTAAGGCAAATTTGGAAGGGGGGTGACTCTGCAAGGATGCAGATCTCATTGGAGAAAATAGTTTAATACACTGGATAGCAGTGGAACTCACTGTTGGGGGCTGGAGTCAGTCTGCAGGACCCACCGGAAGCAGTGCGGAGTGGGCTGGGAGGATGGGGAGGGCAAACCTCAGTTGCTGCACAGGTGCCCAATGGGAAGAGAGTGCTCCTGGGGCAGGAGGCCTGGGGTGTCAGGTCCTTGTGGGGGAGGTTCTGGCAGGAAGTGGTGGTATGGGAAGGACCATAAGAGACAAACCTAGCGGGGGAGGGAACAGCACAGAGAAAATCAGGACATCGGGGTGGGCAGGAAGCTTGGGGCACAGGAGGTCCACAGGGACAGGGTCACAGGAAGGTGATCACCAAGGTATTCTGGGGCTGCAAGGTCTCAGAGGGACAGTGTGTTCTGGTGCATGACTAGGACAAAGCACTGCCTGATGTCCACACACCTGAGCTGAGAACGGCAGGCCCACCTTGCTGCAGCTGGAAAGAGCAGGAGCATCCCTTCCCCCTGCAGTGTTCCTCTAGTGCCCTCTACTGAGAAATCTCAGCACCACGCTTCTACTAAAGGAGAATTCCAAACAGGAATTTACTACATTACTGCAGAGCATATAGTTAAGGGGAGAGTTTGGAACTAAGATGGACTGAGAGACAGTAGATGGACGGTGGGCACCAAAGTCCACTGAGAGGTCTAGCATATCAGGAGGGGAGTGCATGTAATGAATTCCTTTCCAAGAGTTTAACACTTCAGCTGAGACTTGAATTGAATAGAAGTTAACCAGATAGAAAGTTTGGATGAGCATTCTTCAGGCAGAAGGAACAAGCTGGCAAAAGCCATGCTGTGTTTGAGGAGCTCATCAAAAGCCCATGTGCCTGGAACCAGAGGCAAGGCAAAGGACAGAAGAGGAGGGAGGTTAAGCTTAGAAAGTGGGTAGGATGGGGCTGGGGATTTAGCTCAGCAACAAAGCGCCTGCCAGGCAAGCACAAGGTCATGAGTTCGGTTCCCGGTACCGGAGAAAAACCAAAAAAACAACAAAAAAAGAAAGTGGGCAGGAGAACGCCTATGCAGGGCGCTGAGGCAATAATAGGGACGTTGGGATGTTTCTCAAACCTCAGTGAAAGCCACCGCATGTTTTAGGTCAGGAAATCTTCAAAAGCGCTTTCTAAATCTCTTGCTAAGAATGACCTGGAAGGTGACAAGAATGGAGTGAAAACACCATTTGAAAAGCTAGTGCCGTAGTCTCAGTGAGAGCTGATAACAGTCATTTCCAGAGCCACAGTAGTAAACTAAGTAGATCTCCAGACCTATTTAAAAGCCAGGACAAATAGAATTTGCAGTAGGTTGAACGTGGTAGGGTACTTTTTAGGGTGTACATATCATACTCCCCAAGACCCCCTCACTGAGGGCTTCACCCCCAAGTCAGCAGTGTGCAGGGGTGGGGCCCACAGAAGTGACCAGGTTACGAGAGCATTGACCACATCAAAGCATGACGCACTAATGAGTTCACAGCTGCTGCAAGGTGGGGCTTTATTCAGGAAGAAGGTGACTAGTGGGAAGCCTCCGAGGGGCATATCTTGTCCCTGGTTCTCTTGTGCGCTCGCTCTCTCTCTCTCTCTCTCTCTCTCTCTCTCTCTCTCTCTCTCTGGCTCTCTCCTTCCTTCTGCTTCCTGCCTGCCATAATGTCAGCAGCCTTTCTCTGCCACAGGGGTCCGCCATGATAGTTCTGCCTCACCACACGCCTAGGGGTAATGGAATCAGCTGACCATGGACTGAAACCTCTGAACCAAAATAAATCCTTCCTCTTTCTACTTGTTTTTCCCAAGTATTTTTTCACTTGTTTGAAAGCTGACTTTGGGGGTTACTATAATGAATACTATAAACTTTGTGGTTTGTCTCGGAAGAGCAAGGTGAAAGCATCAGCTGATTCAGTATCTGAAGAATGTTCTTTGTTCAGAGATGGCCATCATTTCACTATGATTTCACATGGTTAAAGAGACAGAGACTCTTGGAAACCTCTTTTATAATTATCTCAGTCCCATTCATGAGGCTTTCACCCTCATGACCTAATCTCCAAAGACCCTATGTCTCAAAAGATTCGTGCTGAGGATTAGATTTGAGTACATGAGTAGAATAGTGCAGGAACACAAACCATCTACAGCATAGAGAAAGGGTAGATAGGGTGATCCAGAAGTTTCTTGACACAGTGTCTAAATGGACA